TTAGATGACATGGGGGTAGGGGAGTCTAGATGACGATTACGTCATCGGTAGTTATTTACTTTTTTACACGAATGGCTAACCCTCACATTGTCTTTGCTTAACCACCAACCAAACACATTTTCAGGGATTATCGCAAATAATGCATACAGTCTATTCCACAAGAAAGTAGGCGGCATTTTAAATAGTAAATTAGAAGATATTCCCGTCTCTTTTTCAGAGTGCGATTGTGTTATCGGTAGGCCACGACGCCATCACTTATTCATTTTAATGCCACTTGAAACACTGTGAGAAGTGGACGTAAACAATAATGGGTGCTAAGTATATGGAAGGGACTTGAAGCTGTGTTTTTGTGCACGCATCCAAAAGGACCCAAATTATCATATGCTGCTGCAGCCAAAGTGAATAAAAAGTCAAAAAAGTTTGTTGAGAAGTGGATTAAGGGGGGCGATACATGTAAAAAAAAAAAAAATCGATTTTTTCTTTTTTTCATAAATCGTTAGAATAACATCTCAAAAATATGCCTGTAAATATTCAAAACAAAATTATCATTATTTATACATTAAAAACTCATTTAAGTGCCACGCCTCAACTCGACGCTTGAGTGCTATTGATCTGTAACTGAGCGCTCGATTCTCGCTACCTGCGTTTCGAATGTAGATTCTTGGGGTCTATTGTATGATCGAACCGGGTCAGCAGATGTTCCAAAAACCTTTTTTTTCTTTAATTCTAGGTATACAAGGACTATATAGTTAACATAAAATACTTAAAACCAGTGTTGCCGTTATTTTAGTTCAGTTCAGTATACTTCTGGCATTCGTTTTGTGCGGAGTAAATTAATAAGTTAAATAAAAATGCAGTCTTATCCTAAAAATAAAAGAAATATATCAACCCGTAGTGCGAAACCACGAAAAAGACAGTTTTATGGAAATCAACACTCTAATAAAAATGAAGAAAATAAAGCGCAAAGTACAAGTGCGAGAAAACTCTCTAACGCTGACGAAGAAAATTATCATTACAGTCCGCTTCTGGCTATCGATTTATCGAGTTTTTTACCGTGTTTACAGCATTGTCAGAGATTTTGATATGTCGTGATTGTAAATTACCTGTGAAATTTGAAGAAAGTGCTAACAGAGGTTTAGGTTTTAAAATCGTCGTGATATGCAAGTGTGGCCTCAAAAACATTTCTTCTGGACCATTAATCAATAATGGATTTGAAGTAAATCGCAGAATAGTGTTAGTCATGCGTCTTTTAGGTGTTGCTAGAGCGGAATTAACTTATTTTGTAATATGATGGACATTTGTAATGGTATATCTGAAAGTACATACAATGCTATCATCTCGCTGTTACACACCACTACACAGTCGTTATTTCAAGCTTCTTGTGTAAAAGCTGTCGGCGAAGAAAAACGTGAGAACGAAAAGCATGAGCGGCCAATCTTAAATTTAAAAGTTTCTGGGGACGGTACATGGAAAAAGCGGGGTTTTAAATCGATGTATGGGGTCACAACCCTTATTGGATATTAGTGTGGTAAAGTAATTGATTTAGCCGTTAAAAGTAGTTTCTGTGCAGGTTGTGCTCGTTGGAAAAATAAAACTAACACTGAAGAATATCGTGAGTGGTTCGAAGAACATGATGCCAAACTGCCAAGAAAACCATAAAGGTTCTTCTGGTGCTATGGAAGTCGAAGCTGTAAAGGAAATGTTTTCACGATCTGAAGAATTATTTGGTGTCAAATACGGAAACTACATAGGAGATGGAGATTCAAAAACCTTCAAAGGAATTCTTGATTTGAATCCGTATGGCGACGAATTTCGAGTTGTAAATCATCGGCCATGTTCAGAAGAGGATGGGTACTCGTCTCCGAAAAACTAAAAGAGACAATCATCTGGGCGGAAGAGTAAATTGACGGAAGCATTAATTAAAAAATTATCGTTATATTACGGATTGGCCATTCGAAGAAACGTTAATAGTGTAAAAGACATGAAAGATGCGATCATGGCCACTTACTATATGTGCTCTAACAGATGATTCAAGTCACTGAGTACTGTCCATCTGTTTCCGATAGCTGGTGCAAGTGGCGCAAAGCTGAAGCTTTAGGAGAAAATCCCAAAGAAATTAAACATCCAACTCCATTACATCCTGATGTTCAACCTCATATTAAGCCAATTTTTGACGATTTATCTCGGGATGACTTGCTTGAAAGATGTTTAGGAGGTTGACTCAGAATGCAAATGAAAGTTATAATTCTACTGTCTGGCGCCTCTGTCCAAAACATCTCAACTCTGGACGGAAGATCGTAGAGATTAGTGCTTTTATATCTGCAGGGTTGTTCAATGATGGGTTAAATTTTATCTTACAACTTATGAACTCACTGCAAATTGTTATTGGCCGCCAATCCATGTCATATAAAAGAAAATCGAGAGCAAAGAGTGAATCGAGAAAATCGCCGTTCAAGCTCTTTGACCACCAAACAAGTCGTCAAGCATGTCTGCAGGAACTTGCAAAGAAAAACGAGTTCCTTGAACGTACCGAAGGACTTCTATATGGCCCTGGAATCGCTGATTAATCGGTAAGCCACTTTAATCATACAGTTTCTATGTGTCAAAACTTTAAACGCGTTTTTCTCAAAACGACATTTTTGAAATTTGCGGGTGGGATAACTCAAAAAGTTCTCAACCGATTCCAATGAAATTTTGCACACATCTACTTTACAGTAATAGCTTCTAGTTAAACCTCAAACATTCCAAAAAAATTTTCAAAAATTAACCCTTTTACCAAAAAAACCATTGAAAAAAAGGTGAAAAATCGAACTTTTTTTTTCTGAGGTGTGCCAATTTACGATTTTGTGACTTTTTTAATTTTTTTTTTAGGCTTAACTAGAAGATATATGTTTTATGAACACGTACAAACTAATTTTTATGATTTCAGATCACCGTACGAAAAGTGAGAACGCCCGCAAATTGATGGCTTTTTCCGAGAGGGTCTTGGCAGATTTATTTTTACGGCAGCCTTTTAAAAAAAAAAATAAAAAAAATTTTTTTTTGTGTATTTTAATATATAATAAATAACCCTAAAAAAGTTCAAAAAGATTCAGTCATTCCTTCCCAGTTTAAAAAGTCCTCAAAAAACGGTAAAAATTAAGGCGATTACATGTATCGCCCCCCTTAAGCGATATAAACGATCAAAAAACGTTAATAATTTTCCTGAACGAAGGAGAACGAGAGCAACATCCAGTCATCAAGATAAAGAGATCGTAAAGTTGTTCGAGAAGAATTCCACTTTGCGTCTCCACGAAGCTAAGTTAAAACTTGCCAAGCAGGAAATTTGTGTCAATCTAAACACGATCTGGCGACGTTTGCACGAGGCAAAATTATCATATCGATCTACGAGCTCAAAACTCCTGCTAACGGAAAATCATATAGAAAAACGCCTTAGTTGGACAAGTGACAACAAAGATCGCGACTGGTCGAATGTAGTTTTCTCTGATGAAGCGACTTTTTGGGCATGGGTTCCGGTGAAGCGTGCCTAGAGTAGAACAGATTTCGTTCAGCGCACCGTTAAACAACAACTAAAAATTCATGTCTGGGGATGCTTGTCCCAGCGCGGATTCGGTTGCTTAGAGCTTTTTACTCAAAATTTATATTCGCATAAAATGCTCAAAATTTACAAACGCGGCCTCCTGAGATCAGTGAAAAAGTTGTTCGGACCCAACAATAAAAACTGGGTCTTACAAGAGGATAATGTCCCGAAACATCGGAGCCGCCTGTATCGCCACCGGAAAGAAGAAAATGGCATCACCACCATGGACTAGCCCTCCCAATCCCCCGATGCTAACCCCATTGAAAACATTTGGGCCATTACGAAGATCAAGTTTGCAGGAAAGCCTGTATACAATTTGAAGCATCTTTCAAGGATAATTCGGAAAATTTGGCGATAACTTCCGAAAAATTACGTCGTAAATCTTGTTGATAGTATGCCTCGAAGGTGCAGGCCATTATCAACACTGGTGGCGATTATACCATTTATTAAATAAATTGCGCCTTAGCTTATTAAACGTACTTCTAAATATTATTAAGAATTACCGCGCGCTATTCACTTGTCTAAATTTCCTCTGTCAATGTATTATTTCGTTTGGTTTCGTATCCATGCGACTAGACGTATCCATAAAAAAGTAAACACGCACACTGATAGGAAAGTTAGACTTAAATAATTGTAATAAATTTGCTTACGTAATACTTGAACGGTCCCATAACAAATTAACCGATTTTTATCGCAAAAAATCACGATTTTTCCTTTAACACTAGGTTTACGGGACCCATCAATTTGACGGATTTCAAACTTTGAAATGAAACACGCAAAAAACCATAGCATTAATCTTAACTATTTTGCATCGTAAATTTATAATTTCATTAAAAGAGTTTATACGCACAATTATTATTTTCCTAAGCTTTATAAATTTTGAAAATTGTATCTTGTATACCTATTTCTACGGAACCCGTCAATTTGACGGGTTAGCTGATTACGTCAACAATCCTTATATATTTGCTTCGCTTGTAAAATTATACCTCCAATAGCAAATATAAGACTGAAAGAAAGGTCTAAGACCCCGCCCCCCAACTCATAATCTCAATAGCGCCTCGATAACGAATTGTGTAGCCCGGGTGTCAAATCCTCGCGTTATTCGAAACTCAAAGCGTGCAGCAGACTAAATGTCGTATCGAAAAGATATTCAGTTCATGTGTTGGTGCAAACATAAACAACACACACAAGGAACTTTCACAGCCTGCGGTAGCCGACGTTAGGCTGCGATATGAATCTGCGATAATCCCTGCTGTCTTCAGTATAGTCGCTGCAGTGACAGTGGTAAGAACATTTTTCGAAGACAGTGTGCAAAAGTTTTGGTTATTGTAGTCACCCGCTTATTGTAAGTTTTTACAATAGGGTAATTGAATTTTGCACGGTATTTTTTACTTTCACCGATCACCCTTTTCTAGCAATCATGAGTAGAAACACGCGATATAATAAGAAATTGACAAAAATTACCAACATCAATGAGGATTGTTCTGAGGTGTCCTACGAAGAAGATCAATATGAATTAGGTGAAAGTGATGATTACAGTAAAGATTCTGAATCCACTGAAACTGCAGAAATGGAAGGATCTTCGGATAGTGAAAAGGAAAACCTCTTCAATATACGTCGTAACAAGAAAAGGAGGCGGATTATTTCTAGTTCTGACACCGAGGATGAGAGGACGAGTATTCCAAGTACATCCAGAGATGTAATGGAAGAAATTGAAATTGCAGTTGACGGGACACGGTGGGTGAGACTGAAAGCAGGGAAATCTAGGGGTAGGCCGTCCGTTCATACTATATTCAAGGATATCGTAGGGCCTACTGGTTACACAAAAAGAAATATTATGTCGGGTTGTGTAACTAGTGCTTTTGAATTGATAATTGACAAACCGATAAATTTGCACTCATTTCTGAAGTATGGAACAGATTTATAAGTAACAGCCAGGCTTGTTATAAACCACATCAAAATATCACAGTGGATGAACAACTGTTTCCAACTAAAGCCCGTTGCAGATTTACACAATACATGCCAAATAAGCCGTATAAATTTGGCATTAAGTTTTGGTTAGCGGTTGACGTTAAATCAAAATATATTTTGAATGGTTTCCCTTACTTGGGAAAAGATGACACTCGATGCTCAAATTCGTTGGGCCAGTTTGTAACGTTGAAATTAGCCGAACCGTATTTACATCGAGGAAGAAATATCACGACCGACAATTTTTTTACAAGCATCCCGCTGGCCAAAAAATTGCTTGAACTAAAGACAACTTTGGTTGGGACCATCCGCTCGAACAAGAGAGAACTACCAAAACCAGCGAAAGAAACAAAGGACAAAATGCCGTTATTTTCATCAAATTTATATAAATCAGACAACTGCACGCTTACTGTATATAAAAGTAAACCGAAAATAAAAGTTCTTCTTCTGAGCACCAAGCATAGAAATATACAGATAGAAAACAATAGAAAATGTGTTCCAGAAACTATTACATTTTATAATAAAACAAAGTTTGGTGTCGATGTCGCGGACCAGATGGCACGCAAATATAGTGTGAAAGCAGGGTGTTTTCGATGGCCTCTCCAAGTTTTTTATAATATTTTAGATTTGGCAGCGATAAACGCGTGGATATTGTACAAAGAGTGTACCGGATCGAAAATATACAGAAAGGAGTTTATATTTTCTTTAGCCGATGAATTAGCTGGAAAAAACAAGGAGAACGTTCGTCACAGTTCAGACGTTTCAGATCGGTCACCTTCAACATCGGGAGTGCGAAAAAGTTGCCAAGTGGGCTACTGTAATAAAAATAGAACCAGTAATTGCTGTATGTATTGTAAAAATATCGTATGCGGAAAATGCACAAAAGAAATTCAATACGTATGTAAAAAATGTCCTCGATAAATATGATTATGTAGCCTTTATATTATTGTTATCATTTTCGTAATAACTTAACAAAAAATTTGACTTATTAGTATTTTATTTTTACGTGAAGCCTTATATTGTTAAACTCAGATTTAGTTTGAATAAATTGATTTTTTTTAAAATAAATACGTATTTTCATCCACCCGTCAATTTGACGGATGCTCGTAGAGATAGGTATATAAGAAACGCCCGTAAACCTAGTGTTAACCCTCGGTCCCTATGGTGGGGTTCAGGTGAACCCCAACGCCATTTTTAGGTTTGTGCGCATGCGTTAATCGCGTCTGATGTTCTTTCCATCTTCAGTACCTGCTCTCTCAGTATCCACCGAGCTGTCAGCGTGAGAAGGAGTTCAGATAAGGTGAGTGAATCATTATTTCATCAAAAATATGACGCCATGTCAGGCTTGGGGTGTGCACGAACCCCACCGTAGTGTCTATGTTAGTATGGGATTATTTTCAAAGTTTATTTTCTGTACAGATTTCTGAGTGTGTGGGCATGTGTATTGGTATGTTGGAGAGGGTGGGTTATGCATGTTTGTGTTGGTTTGCGCTGTATTACACTCGTACCTAAGTCTTTCTAAATAAATGAATGAAAAAAATTCGTTTTGTTTCAGAATGGACTGGTTCATTACAGATGAAGAAATCAGGGCGGAGGTAGAGAGGTTGAACGCCGAAGATTTATGGAGTGACGATGAGGACGACAATCGACGACCAGTGGGAAGGGATGAGAGTACTTTGTTACAAGAAATTTGCAGTGATGATGAGGATAATTTATTAGAAAATGATGACAACCAAGACGACGAGTTTGAAGTTTTGGTAGAAGATGAAGTTCCTCAACCTGATTTACATTCTGATACTGGCGACAGAAATTTTATTCTCGGTAAAGACGAAGAAACTATTTGGACTGATACTCCTCTACTGCCCAACAGGAGCAGCAGAGTACCAGCAAGAAACTTGATTACACATTTACCAGGAGCCAAAGGAACAGCTCGCACCGCTGAAAATGAGTTGGATTTTTTTATGCTTTTCATCACTAATGAAATGGTTGAGAAAATTGTGCTCCACACGAACGTGAAAATTGCTGAAATGGCAGAAAACTATACTACCCCACAATCATTCACAGTACCAACAAATGAAAGAGAATTGAAAGCTCTGTTCGGTTTGTTGTTCTTTAGTGGAGTATTGAGAAAATCAAACCTTAAACTTGATGATCTATACTCCCGTAAATATGGACCACCGATCTTTCGAGCTGTGATGTCAAAACAGCGATTAGAATTTCTACTATCTTCACTGAGATTTGACTCGATTACTACTCGTGTAGAGAGAAATAAAACTGATAAGTTTGCAGCCTTTCGAGAAATATGGGACGAATTTGAATTGACAACATTTCAGCTACTTTGATTAAAGCTGCTAAACATACTTTAGTTCCAATCATTTGTCATGTTTTTAATGTTTGTATATCTTCTGGAATTTTCCCTGTAGTGTTAAAAAAGCACTTGTACATCCTATATATAAAAGCGGAAACAGAGATAGTGTCAGTAATTATAGGCCAATTTCTATATTAACAACATTATCAAAAATCTTTGAGAAAATTCTAAATTATAGGCTTATAAAATATTTAAATAAACATAATATTATTGCTACTAACCAGTTCGGCTTTACATCTGGAAAAAGCACAGAAGATGCCATTTTGGAATTATCTGGCTCTGTAACTAACCACATTAATAATAAGTTTAAGACTATTGCAATATTTCTCGATTTGTCAAAGGCATTTGACACTGTCTCTGTCCCGTTATTAATTCGCAAATTGGAGCAAATTGGTATAAGAGGTATATCGCTTGAAATCTTTTCAAGTTACTTGTGCAATCGTTCACAATTTGTAAAAATTGATAACTATATTAGCGGGGAAGAGTTTCTTAACTACGGCATTCCACAAGGTAGCGTCCTCGGACCAACGCTGTTCCTGATTTATGTAAATGAGCTTTGTAAGATCGAACTACCAAATTGTAAAATAGTAACCTACGCTGACGATACTGTCATAATTGTTCATTGTAAGGATTGGTCTGAGGCTCAGATGTATGCTGAATCTTCACTTCAACATGTGATGCGATGGCTTTCCTATAATTTATTAACACTAAACCTAGATAAGACAAAATACATCACTTTTGCTCCAAGATTATCTTCTCAACCCTCTCCCTCGTTTTCCTTGACTGCACATATGTGTAAGTCATCAAATGTCAATTGTCAATGTGTTAAAATTACCCGTACTAATAATATAAAATACCTCGGTATACAAATTGACAGTACCTTGTCATGGAATGTTCAAGTTGAATCATTAATATCAAGAGTTCGAAAATTAATTTATATTTTTAAAAACCTCAGAAATTGCGCAGATTTAAATACCTTGAAAAATGTATACTTTGCCCTCGCTCATTCTATTATAGGATATTGTATCCCAGTTTGGGGAGGCTCTGGAAAATGCTTATTTTTAAAATTGGAAAGAGCCCAACGAGTTGTTTTGAAAGTTATGATCAATAAACCAATTTATCACCCAACAAATGAGCTCTATAGTTTTTGTAATGTATTGACTGTAAGACAAACATATATATTTAGAACAGTATTACGTAGACATTCGAATACTACATTTAATGCGGCTAATGACAATAACAAACGTAGACCTAATAAGATTTGTCACACTCCATTCACAAATTTAGTAACAGTACGACGTCAATACCAATATCAAAGTTCAGTATTATATAATAAAGTTAACAAAGAACTTACCATATATCCACGTACATTTCGTGAATGTAAAAAAATACTGTACCAATGGCTTCATAAATTAGACTATGACAGCACCGAAAAACTATTATGTACTTAAATTAAAATAACTACGTTTGTATATATTAAATAAACACACACACACACACACACACACACACACACACACACACACACACACACACACACACACACACACACACACACACACACACACACACACACACACACACACACACACACACACACACACACACACACACACACACACACACACACACACACACACACACACACACACACACACACACACACACACACACACACACACACACACACACACACACACACACACACACACACACACACACACACACACACACACACACACACACACACACACACACACACACACACACACACACACACACACACACACACACACACACACACACACACACACACACACACACACACACACACACACACACACACACACACACACACACACACACACACACACACACACACACACACACACACACACACACACACACACACACACACACACACACACACACACACACACACACACACACACACACACACACACACACACACACACACACACACACACACACACACACACACACACACACACACACACACACACACACACACACACACACACACACACACACACACACACACACACACACACACACACACACACACACACACACACACACACACACACACACACACACACACACACACACACACACACACACACACACACACACACACACACACACACACACACACACACACACACACACACACACACACACACACACACACACACACACACACACACACACACACACACACACACACACACACACACACACACACACACACACACACACACACACACACACACACACACACACACACACACACACACACACACACACACACACACACACACACACACACACACACACACACACACACACACACACACACACACACACACACACACACACACACACACACACACACACACACACACACACACACACACACACACACACACACACACACACACACACACACACACACACACACACACACACACACACACACACACACACACACACACACACACACACACACACACACACACACACACACACACACACACACACACACACACACACACACACACACACACACACACACACACACACACACACACACACACACACACACACACACACACACACACACACACACACACACACACACACACACACACACACACACACACACACACACACACACACACACACACACACACACACACACACACACACACACACACACACACACACACACACACACACACACACACACACACACACACACACACACACACACACACACACACACACACACACACACACACACACACACACACACACACACACACACACACACACACACACACACACACACACACACACACACACACACACACACACACACACACACACACACACACACACACACACACACACACACACACACACACACACACACACACACACACACACACACACACACACACACACACACACACACACACACACACACACACACACACACACACACACACACACACACACACACACACACACACACACACACACACACACACACACACACACACACACACACACACACACACACACACACACACACACACACACACACACACACACACACACACACACACACACACACACACACACACACACACACACACACACACACACACACACACACACACACACACACACACACACACACACACACACACACACACACACACACACACACACACACACACACACACACACACACACACACACACACACACACACACACACACACACACACACACACACACACACACACACACACACACACACACACACACACACACACACACACACACACACACACACACACACACACACACACACACACACACACACACACACACACACACACACACACACACACACACACACACACACACACACACACACACACACACACACACACACACACACACACACACACACACACACACACACACACACACACACACACACACACACACACACACACACACACACACACACACACACACACACACACACACACACACACACACACACACACACACACACACACACACACACACACACACACACACACACACACACACACACACACACACACACACACACACACACACACACACACACACACACACACACACACACACACACACACACACACACACACACACACACACACACACACACACACACACACACACACACACACACACACACACACACACACACACACACACACACACACACACACACACACACACACACACACACACACACACACACACACACACACACACACACACACACACACACACACACACACACACACACACACACACACACACACACACACACACACACACACACACACACACACACACACACACACACACACACACACACACACACACACACACACACACACACACACACACACACACACACACACACACACACACACACACACACACACACACACACACACACACACACACACACACACACACACACACACACACACACACACACACACACACACACACACACACACACACACACACACACACACACACACACACACACACACACACACACACACACACACACACACACACACACACACACACACACACACACACACACACACACACACACACACACACACACACACACACACACACACACACACACACACACACACACACACACACACACACACACACACACACACACACACACACACACACACACACACACACACACACACACACACACACACACACACACACACACACACACACACACACACACACACACACACACACACACACACACACACACACACACACACACACACACACACACACACACACACACACACACACACACACACACACACACACACACACACACACACACACACACACACACACACACACACACACACACACACACACACACACACACACACACACACACACACACACACACACACACACACACACACACACACACACACACACACACACACACACACACACACACACACACACACACACACACACACACACACACACACACACACACACACACACACACACACACACACACACACACACACACACACACACACACACACACACACACACACACACACACACACACACACACACACACACACACACACACACACACACACACACACACACACACACACACACACACACACACACACACACACACACACACACACACACACACACACACACACACACACACACACACACACACACACACACACACACACACACACACACACACACACACACACACACACACACACACACACACACACACACACACACACACACACACACACACACACACACACACACACACACACACACACAC